GGTTTGCCAGTACTTAATCCATTTTTAACACCTAGGCTACTCTATTGACATTGGTTGTTTATTTCATGGATTTGGCACTCGAGGTAGCTGATAAGCCGTGTCGAAAACGTGCACAAAACGACCATTCTGTGCACGTTTTCGACACGGATTAAAAACCAGTTGTAAGCACAAGTTTTCATATGTACGGGCAAGGTAAAAACCCTAGCATCACAATCTAAGCTAATTATTTATTCTGAGCATGCTCAGTTGTTCTCTCAGTGCAGTAGAGAGAGGTAATTTTGGATGAAAATCTTGAAAAAGACCCACATAGGATTTTCAGATCTGGACAAAAAATTACGTGCATATTCAACAGAGACTTGTTCTTCACCCTGCCAAGTGTCATTGATATCTGCTGCAGAATTTCTGAGAAAATGTTGGAGACATAAAGGGGAGTGGACGGAAGAAACCCAGAACGGGGACTAAAAACATAAAAAAATGAGTAAAGCATTATAAGCATGAAACAAGTTGTATATCAACCAAAAGCGTACAATGACATTTGGCCACTTACACTTTATATTCACTGTCACGTTTTTCAAAATGTTATCATTGAAAAATCAACGGTAACCTTATACTATGATACTACATAGCCTAGGAACTGTTTCATTCAAAACAATAACTGTCCTTTTAACCTTTCCACCACCAGTTCCCTCTTCTTATCACAAATTCACAAAATAGTCCCGTTTATAGTCTGCACTTTCCTTTAGAAGATTGGGACAAAAACAGCCAAATTTTTTGAGTAAAAACTGAAAACTGACCCAAATTTTGTCTGTTGGCTCAAAAATTAGGGTTCATTTCTAGAAATATTGAAGAATATAAGAAAAAAGTGCAGATAAATTTGGGCGAAAAAGTCTGGTGATGAAAAGGTTAAGTTGGTATATCTGTAAAGACAACAAGCAGCCTATCGGCTGAGATAGCTCCGCTGTTAGCAATGCACATTTCAATTAAAGAACTGAAGACATCATTAGAAAATGAACAATATGTATAGTATCAAAGCAATCGGACTTACAGTTTTTAACAAGAAGTCGAAAATATCACTTTCTACCAAAAATGACAAAAATATTCACCAAAATTAGAGAATTGAAGATATCATCACAAAATGAACAAATCTGAGAGAGGTCCACATGTAGTACCTATATATGTAATATCAAAGTAATTGAACTTTTGGTTTTTAACAAGAAGTCGAAAATATCACTTTTTACCAATAATGACAAAAATATTCACCAAAATTAGAGAATTGAAGATATCATCACAAAATGAACAAATCTGAGAGAGGTCCACATGTAGTACCTATACAGTGTATATGTAATATCAAAGCAATCGGACTTACAGTTTTTAACAAGAAATCGAAAATATCACTTTTTACCAAGTATGACAAAAATATTCACCAAAATTAAAGAATCGAAGATATCATCACGAAATGAACAAATCTGAGAAAAGTCTACATGTAGTATCTATATACGTAATATCAAAGCAATTGAACTATTGGTTTTTAACAAGAAGTCGAAAATATCACTTTTTACCAAAAATTACAAAAATATTCACCAAAATTAGAGGATTGAAGACATCATTACAAAATGAACAAATTTGAGAGAGGTCCACATATAGTACCTATATATTTAATATCAAAGCAATTGGACTTGCGGTTTTTAACAAGAAGTTGAAAATATCACTTTTTACCAAAAATGACAAAAATATTCACCAAAATTAGAGAATTGAAGATATCATCATGAAATGAACAAATCTGAGAGAAATCTACCCAAGGTACATATACACGAAGTATCAAAGCATTCAGGCTTGTAGTTTTCAAGAAGAAGTCGAAAAAGTAAAACGTTGACACGGACGACGCCGGACAATCACTCATATGATAAGTCGACAGAGGAGCTAAAAAACTGTCAAGTTTTAATATACAAACCATTTTTGACAAAAAGGATATTTTATTTTTATTGACTGTTAATATATGTAAATGCGGTAGATGTGGAAACACTAGGGTGTCATCCAAGTTGTTGTTGTCAAGAACCAATTCCTGTAAATTTAGAAATTTATCAATCCCTTCCAGAGTTCTGAAAAATAAAAATCGTATAAAATTATTTTTAAAGTTTTAACGTCAAAATGATACTTTGCAGTTATGCATGCATGGACAAGTACAGTTATTCTGTCAGTCTTGCATCTCAGAAGACATTAATGTAACTTGTCTGATGCAATGCATCAAGGCTTTAACATCAGATACACTGATATCACATGAGAAATAAACTTCCATACTCAACAAATGTCATCATATTAAAGGACGGCGGTCATCGTGCCGCGTCCTGTTCGATATGGGGAACTCATAGCGACGTATACAACGCGTGTAAAATACATTGTTTATTTACATGAAATTCGAACACGCACTGCGCAACGACCACCGCCCTTTAATGCCGATGGTTAAACCATCAGTTAATAATTTCAATTTGTATATAATATTCCTATACATCGACTTGCTAAAATTTGTCATTAATACCAATATTTTGTAATTTTAAAAATAAGAGATCTCTCCACACATTGTTAAATGCTTTTGTACAATTTACTAAACAACTGTATAGACATTTCTGAAAATGTATGAGCAACTGGTTATGTCAGTCAATGTGCCGATGTAACTAAAAGGAAAGTACTAAATTTGCTTCATTTCTGGCATTCGTAAAGACAAAATCAAAGAAAGCTTAGAAAGAACTCCCATGTGCTGAGAGTATTGGAGACACATTAAATATAATTTGAAATTACTTAGCTGAAAACTAATTATGCAAATCAGAAAATTAACATGAACAGATTTGATTGTAAAACTAATGAGGTCTGCGCAATGTAACAAAAACTCTATGTACCAAGTTTAATTGAAATGTGATTAGAACCAAAAAATTATGAATTATTATGCTAATTAGGGAAATAATATGAACAGAGTTTTACCCTAAAATGGAAATTAATACTTTAGATATCAGTGTGAAAGCTTAAAATTGGTTAATTATGCAAATTGGGTAATTAATATGTACAGATTTTAACCCACAATTATCCAGATCTGTCTATTGTCCTACAGCATCCATGTATAAACATTCATTGATATGTAATGATTAGTACCTGAGATATCAGTGTGAAAGTTGGAAATTGGTTAATTATGCAAATTAGGTGATTAATATGCACAAATATTTACCAAAAACTAATTGGGTCTCTGCATAATTCTAGATTC